AGGGGCCAGTTCTTTGGGCAGACGTGTGAGAGATTATCTAGATTAAGGTTAGCTTCTGAATGTCTGTGAAGATCCATCCTAATTTGGGCTGCACCAGTCCCTGGCCAGGGATCCCAGGACTTACTGGAGAGACAGCTGAGTATTAGCATTTGTCATTCTCTACTTTCTGTTGTGCAGGGGATGGGACCAGCTGCTTCAGGCTCCTGCTGCCTTGACTTGCCAGCTGTGGTGGACTGTACCCTTGAACTGTGAGCCAGAATAAACCCTTCCCCCTTCTATTGCTTTTATTGCTTTTGTGGGGATATTTTATTACAGCAACAGGAAAAGAAACTAAGACAGACTGTAGCACGTATTACTAATTACTAATGTAGATCAAGGGAGCTCATTGTATTTGGGCCTGTGGCTTTACGATATATCTGACTGAGAATATTGTCATATTTTTGTGAGAAATACCATATTTGCCATGCTGTTGTAAGCTTTTCCCTAAACATTAAATCTGAAAGCAGCTAAGAACTGCAGAGAACTCGCAGGGGCTGTAGCTCAGTGGTGGGGTGTATGCTCTGCATATGTGATACCCTGGGTTCAGTCCCTGAAATCCCCCCTCAAAATAACAGAGGGAGGAAGGGGGGAGCAGGGGAAAGAACTGGAGAGCACCTTTCCACTGTGGATGTGCATCATTCAGTCAGCCTGGGAGAACACTGCCTCATGTTAAAGTGTTCTTTATCTCTGACCCATCACTCCGCTCTTACGGTTCTTACCTTCACAGTGTTGAGAAATAATGTTGCAGTATTCAAAATGTATGCAAATGCTTAATAGTTTGTATGAAAACACCGTAAGATTTTTAAACTTTGTTTGGGACTTACCTATCATCAAACTTTGATATGCTTTACAGAACAAGTAGTCACACCCCAAAGGGAGTGGGGACTAGAATAGATAATTATGAAAATTCAGACTATTCAGGAAACCACTGAAATTCAGCCAGTTGGACTTTATTTTGGAGACAAGATCTTTTTCTTTCTTTTCTTTTTGGTTTTTCGAGACAGGGTTTCTCTGTGTAGTTTTAGAGCCTGTCCTGGAACCTTGAACTCACAGAGATCCACCTGCCTCTGCCTCCTGAGTGCTGGGATTAAAGGCGTGCGCCACCACGGCCTGACTGGAAACAAGATCTTACATAGCCCAGACTGGTCTGGAACTTGCCCAGACTGGCCTCCAACTTGCTATGCAGCCAAGAGTGGCCTTGAATTTATGATCTTCCTGACTCCCAAGTGCTGGGATTTCCATGTGTGCGCCACCGCACTAGGTT